CAACATCAATTCTAGGTCAAGAAATGTCACTGTTGATAGACATGGGCTCAGCAGACCTCTGGGTATATGACATAGAGTGCAGATCAATCGGCTGCTTGGATGTCGGTGGCAACGTCTTTAGAAGGCACAAATTCAACACAAAAAATTCTTCAACATTCATTAAACAGCAGAGATCAATCGATCATCGATGTGGAATTGGATCATGTAGTGGACCTGTCCCAAAGGATGATGTTTCCTTAGCCGGTAACCATCTAGCTATTATACCTTCCCTTGAGTGAAATCAAAATGCACAAATTTGAGAAAATAAAATCGATTTCTAGAAGTACCTTGTGATTTCAGTAACAAAATTCTCTTAATATTATATCGTTAAAAAGAAAAATTAAATTTCCTTCATATAATTGACTTAAACTATTTACTTTTAGTAACACCACTCTGCCGCAGATATCAGTCCTAGATGATCTGTCCGATTCCACCACATCGAACAACGTACTCATTGAACAAATTACGAAAGCATCTCACTTTGAAAAACCTAGGTTCAATAGCGTTGCCTACACTGCTCACACCTTTCAATCCTCCTATCGCTATATAACTTAGCTCCACGGCTGCGTACGTAGTACAGAAGATTTACTTGGTGTTAAAGAAGATACACCCGTGACGCTTTTGCTCGATCTTGGAGGGTTTTTAATTCTCCGCAAAGTCCATTTACCTCGTCCTTATCCTCTGCTCTTCTTGCTCTTTGCTGATAAAGAGGACTTACCCCTTTTGCTTTCCGTACTTTCCCAGCATTACCGAGAATGTCTGCTCTTGCACGACCTGCTGCTCTAAGATGACACTCTTTTTTTTCTACTTTGTGATTGATCACAGATATGCGACGAGCTCTTTGATTCTCCTGATCATCTAGATTTGCATAATTTTCCAAATCTTTTAAGTATCTATGATTTCCATGAAGACGTTGCCAATCTCCCACCAGCTGTTGGGCTTACTACACTAGAATACGGCGAGTGGTCCAGCGAGCACGACAAGCACTTACCACAGATGTCTAATACCTTATCGCATAAACACTCTCCAACCGCTGATAACGACCGCCTAAGAGAACGCCCCAGACTGGCTAGTCTCGAGATTGCAAGAATTGCTCGACCAGTGTCATACGACGTTTGTGAAGCAGATGAAATGCTATATGAAGTGAGGAAACGAATCGAAAACGGAAAATATTGGCACCAGCATAATGAAAAAAGCTGTGATATGGTACCTTTCGTTTCCAGTGTTTCCTCAAGATCACGCTCAAGATTCAGCATATCTCGTTATTTTATTTGAGTCAACATGTCATGTGGTCTGCTAAATGGGCTGACTTATAGAGCTTGATACACGTGTTTCGCATCTTGACGGTCTCATCAGTCGGGTAGTTGCCCTTCGTCTTTAGCCAACCCTCTCGGAGCGCTCAGTCTCCTATACTAAGAGTAGGTGACGACGAACATTTTACAGTGTATGTCAGGTGAGATTTTCACCGGACACACAGTGTTCTACACTCGACTGTTCTTGGACTGATGAGACCGTGAAGGTCGGAACACGTGTATCGGGCTCTATAAGTCAACCCATTCGACAGACCACATGACATGTTGACTCAAATAATGATGGTTCTAATATGGGTCAAATAAAATGATAAAAATACATTTTCGACAGTTTTTGCGTCTGCTGCTCCCGGCAGTAACTCAACAATGTATCGCTTGCATAACGACAGTTTATGTTCGTTTTTTTTATGCGCTTGCTTTGTAAATTTTCAAAAGTTATTCTAAAAGGCAGTTTTTTATGTCACTGTCACAGGTGCTACAATCGTAAATCAAAGTTTTGTGGACGTCACGAAAGCAACAAACGCCTATCTCTTCATACGCATTGACGAAATTTTTGGGCTTGGCAGGCCATTACTCGTCGTAAGCAATGTGGGCTTCAGATATTACAAAAATAATATAAGCCCATTCTTTAGAACTAGCCACGAAAGTGTGTGAAAGCGAAATGTTGAGTGTTTTAGATTATCTCGCTTATACAGAACAATATCCACAGCCTAGAAGCCCCTGTTTACCATCTAGATGGATAAAAAGTTGGGCTATATTACCTAGATGTGTTTTGCTAGAATGGAAACTCTCTAAGTACGATTCGCAATTATACTTCAATTTTCAGCAGGGAGCAGTGTCTGGTTATTTTGCTGAAAATAGCCCTCAACGAAAAGTCGTGTTTCAAAGGAAAACTGTTAAGCACGACTCCAATGGTGAAAGTGCACTGAAAAGCTGAAGGTTTCTTCACTACTGTTCCTCGCTCTGTTTGTTAATCATTTGAGGGGTAAAGAGCCTTTTAACTCCTCAAGATTTCAGAAGTCCTTCTTGCTGTACAGACCTCTTCCTTGCCTAAAAATTTAGTAACTATTCAGAAGCCTAAATTTTGACGACTTCGACACTGTACTTGTTTTCTGGGAAGGCATTCTTACTCTGCAATGGTAGCGAAAGAAAATTACGTCGCTCACGCAGTTTGTATTGTTTTCTCGGCTTAGGACAGCATACCACTATATATTAGACTGTGTTAAAACTCTTTTGTTACCACAAATCTCACCAATTACGACAATGAATTTGTGCCTCCCATCCTTCCGCCGTCAGGGAATGCATATTAGCTTGTCTGATAGGATAACAACACTGACGATGAATATCGCCGGTAAAGAACAAAATAACACCTGATCTCGACAGAATTAGATCAGAACACCTGAAGAACCTACCGCCAATCTACATCAACACCCTGGCTCGGCTCTTTACTCACTACCTGTCAGAATGGAAAGTCCCCATTCAATAGGAACCCGCAAGACCATGTTGTTGCTCAAGAGCGGGGACCTCCACGACATAGGCAATTATCGCCCAATCTGCATGCTGTCCTTTATCTATAGACCCTTCACCCGAGTCGTCCTAAACAGGATTGACAGAACGCTGGACGAAGGACAAACATGCGGACGAGCAGAGCTGCGAAAGCGATCTAGCACCATAGACCACATCGATCACAAGACTCACTGAAGTTTCACGAGAGTACAAACTACCGCTCTCTCCCACTTTCTTCGAATCGCAGAAAGCCCTTAATTTAGTGGAAGCACAGCGGTCATAGAGGCTCTGGATAATCATGGCGTCCCTACTCGCTGCGTCACGATCCTCGTGAGCTATATGAAGATTTCACTACTAAAATATCGCCATCCCAGAACAATATTACCATCGATGTAAGAAGAGGGGTACGACAAGGCGATATAATTTCGCCAACATTATAGACTGCCACCCTTCAAGACTTCATGCAAACATTATAATGGGACGATATGGGAGTGAAAATCGACGGTCGACAACAAAGCCATCTTCGCTTCAAGATGATATCGTCCCCATAACACCAAGCATCAACTAAGCGGATCGAATGTTGACACATTTCGACAACGCTTGTGGAAAGATTGGCCTTTAACTGAATCTCACGAAAGGATGTTTATGAGAAACCGACTGTTTTGAATGCCGCATGCACGCTCAATGAAACTAACATCTTCGAATGCTCAAAATACGTCTATTTAGGTCGTCAAATCAACATGATAAGCGACCTAGCTTCAAAGTGGAGCAGGAGATAACGAGCGCGTTGGGGAACGTTTAAAAGCATCGAGGATGTGGCGAGGAGGACAAAGAACATTCCCACTCCGTGCCCACCTTTTCGGCTCAACGATTATTCCTGCCCTGATGTATGCAGCACAAACTTGGTTGCTGCTTAAGCGGGATAAAAGATCACTTGGCGTTATTGAACGCGCATCGAAAAGTCGATGTTACGAGTATCCCGTATCTCGCAAATGTGAGAAAGGCACCGAAGCTCCAACTTACGTCAACGGTCGAAGAGTGATGGCGCCGATCTAGACGCCAAGATATCAATAAACAAGGTGGGCCAGACACGTGATGCGCTTCAACGACAACCGATGAACGAAAGTCGTTGCTGACTGGATTCCTTGAGATTTCAAAAGCTTCGCACGAAAACCACCGACCCGATGGTCTGGTTTCTTCACGAAAAGCCTATAAGAAAGATATAAAGCTCAGCAAATCCCTAGAGCGAAAAGGATCCACTGGGTTACTCTTGCACGCGATGGGGATAAATGGAAGTGTTGCTGATACCCGCTCGAGTCACTCGACGATCAAAGGGACGACAGGTGACAGACGATTGCTGGAGACGGAAACTTTCGACAAGAGAGGCTGCGAAGGAGATCTGTGGAGACGGGGATGAAGGAACTGCGAGCCATGTGACTGTAGCAAAGTGTTACAAACGATTTGAAAGTGGTGATCTTTGCAGCGTATCTTCTATATAGAATGGTCATCTTATCGTTTTGCCAAGAGGAGCTTTTCGTTTATCGCATTGGATCAAACCCTAAACTTGTGTAATTAAACCGACATACGTATATTATAATACAACAAAAACAAGGGGGCGATGTCGATAGACTTACAAAGAAATTGAGCAATGCTATGCAATCAATAATTGACAGTTTGAAAGATGAATAACCAAATGAGCAATGTGAAGCAGGCTCCTGAGCTATACGTGCCAAGTACAATGAGGAGCAAGCATCTGTGTCATACATGCGAAATGTACTAGGGAGATGATTTTTTGTTACAGATATGAAGCTTATTGAGAGGCACATATGTGCAGGTAATGAGAAGTGAGATTCTGTATTACTGATGTAAGTGTAATGAGAAACAAGTCTCTAAACTATACATGTGAAGTTAATGGAGAGTAGGATTCTGAATTACAGATGTGAAAAGTAATGAGAGATAAGCTCCTGCACTGAACATGTGAAGTGTGATGTGGGGCAAGCTTCTATATTAGAAAAGATTTATGAGTTATAAGGGATGGGAGTTGCAGCCCAGCTCGAAGTGGAGTCCATGGTCGAATGACACTTCCTGTGGGCGTGACGATTTCCAAGATTATACCTGAGAGAATTGAGTGGTGGGCAAAAACACGGCCTCAGACGGGAATCAAACCCGTCTTTTATCCACAGCGGGGACGCGTGCTCTACCACTACACCACTGAGGCACATTTGCCTGACCACTCATTCTTCAGCATCTCTATGTTAGCTATCAGCCACAAACCTTCAACAGGTTTGGTCTCTTAGTTATATAAGTAAATCATAACACTGCGAAAAAAGCAGTGAAAATACTATAATTTCGAACTCTTATGATTCTTGGGTAAGTTGTATGTTTTGCAACATTACTGTGTCTCAGCTCATTATTTGTGTTTTCAGTTTTATTTTGAAAAAATTAGTGGAATGAGGATGCTCCTAGCCAAATAGTTTATGTAAGGAAGGACGCTGAAGAGCCAGCGCGTTTAGTATTCTTGAGTTAAACTTCTCATTCACATTCTTTGCAAATATATCAGGGTATCAGAGAGAGCTGAGTAATATGCAAAGCATTCGGCCATAGACGGGAATTGAACCTGCATGTCTCCCATGTCGGTGTGTGTATACTTGCACTACACTAGACGTCACCACCTAGACGTCACTTTATACGGGACGTCTGATAACCATTTTGGGCAATTAGTTAGCACGCGTCACCGGAAAAGAAGAGATGTGCGCTCGACTCCCGTCTGGGGTGCCAAGTTTTGCATGTCATTCAACATTATCGGATATATAATTATAATGTCATAGTAATACAAAAAAGTTTAAATGAAAAATTCTTGTTATTTGCATATTTCGGCTTATTTAGATCTTGAAATCGAGATAATTCATCACATTTCGCTCATTCGCAATGCTATTCGTGAAGATGGTGGCAAATGATGAGTTTCAGTGCATTTCCTATACGTCTTGTCAACACAGACGTTAATTTTGCGCCATTTGTTTTTGCGAGAACGCATTTATCCAGCTGACCTAAGCTTCGACGGCTTGTTGTGTAGGACGGCCTATACGATTTTGATCGGTAATGTAGGTGGAAAGGTCGGATTTTATCGAATTTCCGTGATACGTAAAACGCCTAACATCGACCTATTGACTACGCGCTCAATATTATCATCTGATCTTTCATTTTGCTTAGATGGCGGCCACGTTTCAGATGCATATATTAAGGCAAGGGCATTGCTGAGTTGAAAAGGTGGGCACTGATCCGTACGTTCTGTGTCCTCTTAAAGACGTCCTCGATCTACCCAGCTTCTTTGTTTTCTCCTTATACATGGATCGAAACAGTCATTTTCAAAGTGGCTTGAACTCAATGGCCAGTGTTTGCAGGGAAACTTCATTGTCGTGATTTCGATACGACTGTTTCCTCAGGTTAATTCTCATTGCTTTGAAGGTAACTAAGTATGACGAATTTTAGTGATTAGCTTGAGTAGATCAATAGTTGTAGCTCGTCTTCCCTTCGAATCACAACAACATTTGGCTGGACAGCAATTATTCGTCCAGTTCATTTGACGGTCTTATCAGTTTTTTCTTCTAAATGCTTTTTCCAAACAACTGCATTATCTTTGCTAGCGGTTTTATTATTTCAATTCTAGCGTATGCAGACAACCTACGATTAAGCAAGGTCTCCAAGCCGTATATATCTACTACGGTGAATAATCTCTGAAATTTTGTTGTCAGGAGTAAGGTATAGCAGTCAGGAATTTGCGAAATATTTCAGGAGAAAATCATGTTTCTTCTGCACGGTAATGAAGTATTTATGGTCCCTATCTATTAAATGGCGTAGAAGGAGGATTTGACCCCTTCTGATGGACAAGAACTACTTACGTTAGTAACCATTCAAAAGCCCAAATGTCTGGCTAGTGCGAAACATGGCTAGTTTTGGAAAAACCCTTTCATAAAAAGGTGAAATACGAAATCAATACTTGTTTTACATTTTCAGAGCAATTCAACTAACACTTCCCTGGATGCAAGCAAATCACATGAATGTATAGAGAAAATATTTCAGTATCAGAATCATATGTTTTATCTGGAGTTTTTTCGAAGTGGAAAAACAGTTCCTAATTGAATAACAGAAATCGTACTTCGCATTTGATCCGCCTCGGCGCCCATCGATCAACAATCGTGCAACCTCCTCCACCCCCACAGCCCGCGAACAGGCGAGAAAACACCAGTCCGTGTTTCCGAATCAATTTTAATTTCCCTGCTGCACTGCCAAGAAACGGTCTTTTCAAATAAGCACACGCTGCAACCGTTGAATGTAAGCCATCGAAGGAATATTAGTATTCTAAAGGAGGAGCTTTGTCCTGCGACGAAAACGCAATGTGGGACATAAATTTTTCTTACGGGAAGAGTTATAAATTGACTTCTCTAAAAAAGGGTTATGTTGAGCAGTAACTAGAGATTTGAGCTCTCGAAAAATTACTAGACATTTAAAAATATTTGTACAGCGAAAGTGGTGTAATTTTGATTTGTAGCCATAAGATGGACAAGTACCCTCGTTTTTTGATGTTCAGTAATCGCAGAAAAATGCAGCACAACGCGGGAAAGGTGAATTCTGCATTGTTGCAAGGTTGACGGTTGATGGACTTCATATAGTTACAAACCAATATGTGGGCGCTTACAGCGCAGTGTCAGAGGTGTCCCGCACCAAACACTAGATCAGTCCCTGGTTCGATCCTGAACATCGGTCATGCTAAGCCCTTCAAACCTCGATAAGCTGGTGTCACCCTTGTTTTGGATGATAGTTGTATTGACTACATTGATAGCCACAGCTATTGATTGTATAAGTCGTATATGCAGTCCCTTCCTTTATTGTGCTACAAATCAATTCAACATGTCGTATTCCCCAGGGATTAGTCAACGCCAGAAGCTTTGTGGTTAAAATTCAAATAGCCGATATCTGCGTATTTTCATAAGTCTGTCATTGACAATATAAGTATGCAAAATGTGAATACATTTGCTTCCATGGCATCTATTAGATGTTATACTCTTTGTTGAACAAATACATTTAAGAGGCACTCCACAAGTTCAAGAAAGTGACAGAACTAAGTAATTGAAGCGAATATATTTAGATGTTCAAGCTTTCGAATACCACATATATTGCATAATTTGATGCTAAACAATAGCCTAATCCTACTCTTTCTATGATTCTTTGTTATTTTTGGAGCTTTCACGATGAATCGTAGGTTCTCCATGAGATGCTGTGCTCTTAAGATTTCTGGAAACGAATTTTAGCTATTAGAATATGGATCAAATTAGAAGCTGGAAGTAGATGTTCTGATCATTTGGGTATTCTGTAGAAACTATGTGAATCGTTGACTATTTGTTACCCAATTTTTAACAATTTAATAATAAGCAAAGCCGATAAATTGATGAGTGACTTATATTTTTTTCTGACATGATAGAGTTCTTATTGATTCTCCATTACAAGAACCACTATAAATACTTACTGCGTTGGGGGTCCTTGACTTCTCTTTGCAGGTGACCTCTCTCTGGAAAAAGTGTTTTCAGTCGTTTACCAAGTTTCCAGAATTCGCTATTCATTCATTTCGGTTCACTATCGAAGAGATTATTGACTGCATATGGAATCTCTACGAAGCCTTCATGGCAATTCTCACAATCTTCATTGTTGTTCTCTTTATTGTATAATTGCCAAACCAACGTCAACCACTGAGGTATGGAAAGGCTAAAGGACAGAACAACAGAGGGCAAATTGGTTTATCATGGAAGCGGACAGTGGACAAACGGGCAACTAGTCAAGAACTGGTCTCATCAGATGAACAGCACTCAGGCCAACAGTATCACTGGCTCTCCTCACTTCATCATCCACTTTATCTCTCGTGGTAGACATCAATACTTATGATCGTGCTGCCATTGTCATCTTATCAGAAAGAATAACCACTGACTGGTTGTGTTCCTTCGTATTGCATTATCGCCATGTAATGTCGCACCGTTGCCGTTAAACTTTAGATTTACATCGGCATGTAGAACTATGCTGTTGTGAAGAGGGAGCATACAACGGTGACAGAGCAGTTCGTAATGGGCTATGCGTGATCCGCCACCGGTGCAAACTACTCAATCCTACATTTGATCACCTTGCTTGCACCCGCTCAACGCCTTGTTATCACAGATCTGTCACAGACCTCTTGTATCTCAATTACCCACTGAATGCCACCCTCACTGCAGATCTTCACGAACGGGCATGGGAGCATTCCGCGCTCCGCTGTGGTCGTGCTCCACAGGTGCATAGTTATCCGGTTTATTCATCACTTACGCGACCTTTTTGCCATTCTCCGCTACTATTGACTGTTTTCTACCACACTTATTAAAAATCTGTTCTTCAAAGCCAATTTCATCGTATCAGGTGTACAAATTATTATAGAGAACAAATGAATATGCGACCTCATTTGCTGGACAGGAACTTTTCATGGGAATGATGGTAATCAATCAAAATTCCCTATCTCTGGCTATAGCCCCACATAACCGGTTTTCGAAGAACCATTTCATAAAGCTGTAAAGTTCAAAAAAGTTATGTTCCACACGCGCATATTTCAGTACAGAGTTTTTTATTTGGACTATTAGTAGCCATTCAAAAGCGTAATATTTACTGATTCTAGCGCTCTAGTCATATCTTGAAAAGACCGTTTCTCAAAAGCGGAGCATGAAAATAAGATTGATTCACATGCGTGAGGAAGGTGATCTTTGGCCACTTCGCGGGCCCCTAAGTGAGGCTGCAATAGGATTACGCAATTATCAGCCGATTTTCGACCGACCTCATGCTAGAGCGATCTTTGTTATTCAGTCAAGGATCATTTCTCCGCTTTAAAATAGAAAAAAAGAAATTCAGATAAAACATGTGACTCTGTTACAAAAAGACAACACTTTCATTTTGCCATGGTCACGGTTATAAATCAATCATCATTATTATCACTTTGATGAAATACAAAAGACCAAAACGTCCGAATTGCTTCCAACAGTGACTCGAAGGCATTCAGATACTACAAGGTTTTCTCACACGTTCACATGCTTGAAAGTCGACCGATCATCGCGTCAGCCCCTCTTGCGAGTTGGACAAAGATCGTCTTGTTTGAATAGATTTATTTTCCCACCTGCGTTTCAGAGAAGCAGTCTTTTCACGACATAG